GCGCTTCCTATGCGAGTACTGCAATAAGTCGTTCGAGGACTCGCAGGAGGCTCGACAACGACACAATCGTGGGCGCAACCACAAGGCCAACGTCAAGCTCTGGTACGACAGCTTCGCAGGTATGTACAAGCGCACGTATGTATGTAGTACATGTAGTCCTACTCCACTCAACTCTAAAACTTTTCTTCCAGATCAAGAGCGAAAAGCTGCTGCAGGCAATTCGACTGTACTAGTTCAGGACTCTTCTGCATGGACAGCAGTGAACCCTTCAGCAGTTAACAGCCAGACACAGCCATTCGCTCTACACAACCTGCCACCCTCGATGCATCCAGCTCCACCGGGCGTGTTCTACTACTGTAGATCCGATTGGGGCTAAAAGGTAACAAAACAGAGCTAATAGGGCAAGCATGCCCCGGACTATGGATGATGTTTGCACATTTGCGGCACTGTTAACCAGATACAATCAGGAACGCTTCCTTTTGAGACAACAGTTCATTCTTGGTCGTTGCGAGCACTCGGCTTATCCGCCCTGGATCCACGGGTGCATGGCAATCTGCTCTACTGTCAGACGCCGAGACGGGTCGTCCACGATCAGCATTTTCGACATCAAGTCACGCACATTGGCAGAAACGTGATCCATACCCCACGAGTCTAGCATGTCACTCATGAGGCCCTGGGCGATCATCTGGAATCGAGGGTCCGCATCATCCGGACGCTCGAAGGGAGGAGCACCCGTAACCATGATGAAAAGCATTACTCCCGTTGACCAAATATCTGCCGAGAAGCCGTTGAAGGGAACTTGGTTGCGGTAAATCTGACCACAGTAAATAATTGTAAGAATTTGATCACATTAGTGACAAAATATGGGGCAAGCTTACCTCAGGAGGCATGTAAAAGATTTTTCCAACCGCGCCAGCAGGTGGCAGTGAATATGTCATGCCATGCGCATCAACAGGGATACCAATAGACAGACCAAAGTCAATGATCTATCGCACATCGAACAGAAAAAGTATCAGTAACAAGCCCGTGCCAGTAACACCAGTATTTTTGCCTACCTTCGAGGTATCACCATCCAGTAGCACATTTTCTAAGGACATGTCACGATGGCAAATGTAGCGGCTCTGCAGGTAAGACAAACCTGCGAGAACTTGGGTAAACCAATGGCGGCACTCGGCCTCCTCCATTGCGCCTCCACTTTCAACAACTGAGAACAGTTCGCCACCATTACAAAACGGAAGTACAGCATAGATGAAGTCGGCGTCGTGCAAGCACTCGATCTGGATAAGCAGGCACATAAACAAAAATAACATGTGAGATAGAGCTAGTTTTTTCACAGGCATCGGTCTTACCAGCGTGAGCACATTTTCATGGCCTGGTACCGAAAGATATTGTTGCGCTGCAAGCTCCACCAGCGGGTTCTCCTGGAGTTTGCCCTCCTCTATAATAACCTGTAGCCGGACAACACAGTAATTAATCCACATCCAGCCACTATCGATATCTCTCATTAAATATACGCACCTTGCTCATGACCTTGATAGCCACTTCGAACTGCGTGCGCACGAACGTGCCATTGGGTGTCATCTGCAGACGCACGGCGTGTTTCACTTTGCCATAGATGCATTTACGCAGCGTACGCACGAACTCGTACACAGCTCCAGACCCAGAGAAGATCGCTAGCACCATGCCGACGCCTTCCACGGGGCAGCGTCGTAGCTCAGCATTCATGAAGCGCACTTCCTGTGGGATTGGTGAGCTCAATCCATTATGGTCGAACTCCTCCGAGCCTGTACGGAAAACGTCGTCTGAAGGATTAATCCCCAACGCCTGCAGTTGCTGCTGTAGCTCGGCCGAGACCTCTTGCATGGCTTCCTCTTCTTTTCTCGCTGCTGAGTCACTGGCCTCTTCAGTGACGTCTTCACTGCCACTGGGCTGTTCAGCAATGGACTTGCCACGTTTGGAGCGTTTTGGGGTCCCTGGTTTGCTGGGTGGCTCCCTGCGAGGGGCTCGTACTGGTTCAGTGGCCGCTCGGTCTCTAGTGGAGCTTTTACCGAGTAGTCCGCCCGCCCACGATCGGAACCGGTCGAATGCGCGTGTGCGGGAGGGACGCTGGCTGCCGGAACTGGGGGCGCGCGCTTTCGTGTTGGCCTGTGGTCTGTCGGTCGCTCGTGCGTGTCGGCTACGACGGCAGGTCAAGCAACACGACGAGGATGTCGCTATAGCAGAGACAGGGATAGACAAACGCAGTGAGGGGGGGGCAAAGGGAGGCAAAGCAGACAGAGTGGCACCTTACACACTCGGCAGTAACGAGGCGAGAGAGGCGGAGGCGCAGGGGGGCGACACCAAGTGAGCTAGTGATGGCCGGGGATAGGAACGATCGGCGATCAACAGGCGAGTCAATGCGCGCGCAGCTGGCTGTACGGACCGGTACGATGGCGGAGTACAGACGTTCTCGTTTTGGCTGTTTGCGTGTTGACTAAGCGTTTGTATGCGCGCGTTGGGTTAGAAATGACGTTAGAAATTGGCTGGTTCGAAAAAAAGGTGTTCGAGTTTTGCTTTCTACTGTTGTAAAACCGGTTTTGAAAGCGCTTTATATCAAAACGCATGAAGTTATAAGGGGTTCTCAATTGTGCAGCAGCAAGTAGAATTCTTTGTTGTCGATACTTCGAGCAAAACGTTTGCAACATAATTGATGGGCCCACTTTTTTTTGCGGTTGCAGCAGCAAGTACATTTTTTTTTCAGGGACAGCGATTCGCGATCTTAGCGGCTTGGATGCCGCGGCTGTCAGCTAAGCTGCGGGAGCATAGAGAAATCATTTCTTCGCGCGAGGTCTCTGCTATCAACTGAGAAATTCTAGGGGAAGAGGACTCCGGAGAAGATGAATTAGACGCTTTCTGGTTGCTAGAGTACGAACGTGTACAAGCTACACGATACGCAGCTCGGTCTTCCAATTATCGCCGGCGCAATGCTAGATGGTTGATGATTCCTTATAACCGTGTGCACACGAGCGACTCGGAGTTCCTCAAGCACTTTCGTCTTCACTGCCCCGAGTTCGGTGGATTGAGGTAGCAGTTATAAGCGAAGACCAAAACGGAAGTCGTAAGGTGGAGTACATTCTCAAAAGACTTGGTCAAGAAAGGACAACGATCTGTATAGTTCGCTGCTTCACTCTACTATGCAGATCGTTGTTTTTATGTCGCTGGACGACTTAAGC